ATCAAAGCGCAGACAGCTCAGAAGCTGAAGAAGAAAGGCCATCAAAACGACAAAAACTGGACACTGCAAAAAAACACAGCTCCAAAAAAAAGGTGAATGGTCTGATTTTTACACAACATATGCTGGTTTTTAGGGCTGCAACTAATGACTTATTTTGATAGTCGACTAGTCATCGACTATTAAAACGTTTAGTCACCAGCTTTTACATTTAGCATGAGGTTATTGTTCGACTTGAATGCCGCAAAAAAACACATATAAAATGGGAAAGAGCTGTCGTGCAATTGATTGTGCAAATAGCTCCTATTTCGTGTTAAATCTGTGTTTTTAGAGACTGCCAAAAACTAAATAAGTATAGGACGTGGATTGGTCACACATGGCTGATACCCGATCCGTCAAATAGGTCTGGATCGGCGCCGATACCGATCCGAATTTCTGATACAAACTTTGTTATAATCAGGGCTGCATATAGCCTAACTGGTACGCAAGTACGCATTCACCTTTAAAAGCGATATACGTGCGGGCAATCCATTGCTGTGACAGTGCAAATTTGTACGTATTTTATGTGCATTTGCGCTGATATGACAAGAAATTATCATACATTTTAACCTGTATATACTAATTCGTACTTCATTTGCGGTATAGAGGTTAAAATGCACGGTAATTTCTTGTCATATCAGCTATTTATATAGCCTATGTTTACAAATAAAAACTCATTTTAAAGCAGACTGAAAAATCCCAAGATCCTGGAAATTTAGCAGCTTCCCATTGCCATTCCTCTTTTAACAGCAAGAAAACAGACTTCAAAACTGCTATTTATTTATTTTTAACGGAGCATAAGCTCTCGCAGCACTTGCGACATCGGAGCCACTGTCCTGAATCTTGAGCTTCGGAGTTTTGGCTTCTTTATCTATTTAAGCAATGGGTTTTCTCCAATGTTTTCTGACCTTTTTTTTTAGCTACTATTAGTGAAAGAGACACTTCATGACACAACACTGACTTCCAAACATAAATACGTTATATTCCGATCTTTTTTGAAAATGTAAAATATACTGCTACTAGCCTATTATTATGCCCTATTATTGTTGTTGTTGTTGTTGTTGTTGTTGTTGTTATTATTATTGGATACGCCAGACAACAAGAAGCCCGTGCCATTCACCCTTTTGCAGATCTCGTCTTTGTTTTGGGACATTAAAAGCCTTTGAGACTGATGTGGCACTAATTGCTGGGGAATTATTTTCTCCTTACTATGAAGTTTGGCATCTTTAACACGCTTCGGGAAATAGCTTGCAGCCTGTAGGCTACTCCGCAGCCGTCAATGTTTAAGCGAACTGCGAAACCATAATGTTTATTTTTATTTTTAGGAAGAATAATTGAATCGTAATTAAACAAAAGAAATACAGCCTTTCCAGCCCCCCCCTCCCCCCCCATTTTTTTCCTTCGGATCTACATAAATCTCATTAACAACCTTTAGTGCACTCAGTTGATGGAAATCCGTCATAGCGACTTTTATCCCTGTGTCCCAGACTTTAGAGCGTTTAATACACGATGATGCCTGATTTGTGGCCGCCATTCTTCTACCTGTCGCTGAATGCTATTGCTCAAGAGCGAATCTCACAAGTGTGGTGTATTGGTGCAGTCTATTGGAAAGCGGTAGTATTGCACAGGTAGAAAGGAAGGAAAATGTCGCACACCGTTTAAAAATACGTCTGGCGACAATGATCGACAATCAAATTCGTCGGCGACTATTTTTATTGTCGATTTTTGTCGACAATATTGAATAATCGTTGCACCCCTACTGGTTTATGTAGGTGGAATTGCATTTTTTTCGTAATTTTCTACAATGTTTTTTATATGGTGAAAACTGTGAAAAAATATTGGTTATTTTGGTATGCCTACCTGGACTTTTCTTGTGAATTTGCTGTGAATTTCACAAAGAGCTAAAAAGATTTAATTATGGTTCTTTTTCATCCCACCAGAAAAAGCAGGCTGGAGTATGTAAAACAAGCCGACAAGAAAGAGTACTCTCAGATGATCAAAGCGTAGACAGCTCAGAAGATGAAGAAGAAAGGCCATCAAAACGACAAAAACTAGACACTGCAAAAAAACAAGGCTCCAAAAAAGAGGTGAATGGTCTGATTTTTACTTTTAGCATCACGGATGTACAGTCCTTTTCTATTCTGGGGC